AGGTGAATGGGGATTAGTTTTTGTTCTTTTACTTAGGGGTATCTGCACCTTCTGAGACTCTGCTGTTCCTGTTAGTATAACCTTAATTTTAATTGAGGATATTTATTTTCCTTATGAATTTAAGTTCTGACAACTGCACTTGTTAGCCTATTCAAAACCAGCCACTTTTTCCTTCTAAGATTTAGACCCAACTGTTTGTCCTTGGCCACATGTTCTTACATTAAAGTAGTAAAAATAAAAAGTATGCATGTTGAAAAGATTTACCTCATCTGGCAATGAATAAATAGTGATATTTTTGGAATATTCCTGGTGTCCAAAGAAAACTGTCCCTTGCTCTGGATAGATATCATTGGTACAGGCTGGATCAACAATCCAAGACACACTTACATTGCCAAAATTTCCTTGGTTTCTTACAATTCTGTAAACAGCTGTGAAAGGCAAACATGAAGACTGGTAAGTGTGCGCTCTTAAAACAATAAGAATGGAATCAGAGATAAATAGGGCTGGAAGGGACCTCAAAGAAGCCATTCAGTCCAGCCTCTTACTCAAAGCATGATGATCAAAGCAAGAAACTTTAAAAAAAAATTATCAGAAAAAGAGAAATAGCCTGGGATTTCTTTTTAGTAGAACCAATATAGACTAAATGAAAAGACACACAAATATAAGAAAGAGGTGAATATCAAGGTGTTTTCAACTAGGCTACAATTTAATACCACTGAAGAGGCAATGAGGCACTTCTACTGCTGAACTAGAATCTAATCTACAAAATTCTTGGTATCACTTGCAAAGTATAGCTCACCCTCAGTTCTTGGGACTTCACTGAAATTCAAGAGCCATCAGAACATTTTAGGGGCAGGGAGGGGGACAGCACCTTGAGGATATGTTATCTAAATGTACAGCCAGTAGAATAGGACTTGGTCATATATGCAGAGTTCAGCCTATGCAAACCTTGGTAATACAATCAAGGTTAATTTGCTAAGGACAACTGCCATTGATTTAATCAGATCAGTCAAATGCTTAAAGTTAAGCATAAGAATATATACTTCCAAGATGAGACCAAAATAAAAGAAAACTAAAACAATATTCCAATTTTATATCCCTGCCCGTAGAATTTTTCAGAGGACTTTAGAATGAGACAGATTATGTTTATTTACTTAGGCATCTCTAAAAGTGTCTTACATCCACGTGCCTATACCAAGCAACTCCCCAATGCCCTGATATCGAGTGGGATGTAAAGTTGCCTGGGCAGGAAATGCTTAACCTGTCAACCACATTTCCACTGCTACAATCAACACCCCCCTTCCACAACAAAACCTTCAGAATCCATGGTTCCTACCCATGCTATTCCCAATAAGTGCTGTATCAGATCCAATGTACCACAAGCCCTAACGGCAACTATCTGAGTGAAGCTAAACAACAACTACGCACCGGAATTAACTCTCTCAGAAAAAAATATATAAAGGACAGAGATGCCCACAAGTCAGTAGGAGTAGCTTCTTCACAGAACTGTCACTCCATTTATGACCTCACTATCCTTGTGCTCAAAGGAATTCTACTTAACACCTTTAGAAACCAAACTTGGGAACAAAAATTCATAAGCTGGCTGGACACTAAGAACCAAAGACTTAACATTGATATCGGTTTTATGACACATCATAACCTACCTGATCCCCAGATTCCACATATGAAAGGTAAGAATGACCCTATTTCCTCTTGGGAGGCCTTGCTCTCCCAGTAGACAGCTTCTTTTCTTCTGCTAAAGGATACCACCCTAAGAAATCCTTGCTATATATACCAAACAAGTATTTTTGATTCCTTTGAGTATTTTCTTGATATTCTCTTCTTTTGTTTTCTACACTTTTTTAAAGCTAGGATTTTACTGGGGAGGGGGGATTGTCCTCAAATTTAGCACTCTTGGGAGTAACACAGGCCTTCTTCATAGATTTCTCTGACTGGGAAAAGCAGTCACCGTCTCCATTGCCTCTTATTTTCAAGGGTATTGGTAAGAGTTTAAAATCAAACTAAAAGAAAATTTACCAGCATAAACTTCTTCTCCTTTACTTTCATTTATTGTTACTGTTAGCCCATCTGGGAAGAACTGAATTATTCCATGTGGATCATCATTTTTCAGAATGGTTATATTGACTCTTGTGGCATTTCCCAACTTGCCTGGCATCTCACTGTGTCTACTGAGTACCACAGAATAATGCTCATCCAGCTAAAACAGGAAAAAATGGTCAGAAAAATAACATAGACTGACAAAATTCATAACATGAAAGAGAATGGACCACACACAGACGCAACTGTGAAAAGTATGTATGTGCTTTCCAGACTAACTTTTAGAAGTATAATGCACTTACATACAGCACAGAAAAAACACAGAATCTTTCTCTCTGTTAAGACAACTTCATCTGCTTCCATAGGTCTGTAACTCTAGATATAGCACTGGGATCATATACTGTAGGTCTGAATCAACAAATATTAGGCCTGTGCAAATAGGGAAGTATTTGATTCAGATTTGGCTGATTCAGAGGACAGTGATTAGATTCGGATCACCGTCCTGAATCAATTCGGCTGAATTAGCCTTAGAAGATTCAGCGCCAATTTGGATTTGGCCAAAAAAAGCCCCGCACTCACCGGCTCTGGCAGTGGGGATTGGGGGTTTGTGACAGAACCCCACCCCCCCGCTCAGCACAGGCCAGTGGGAGGCAGCAGTGCCAGAGGCTGGGCTGGGTGAGGGATGGGGCTGGGCAGGGCAGCCATGGAGGCTTCTCCCACAGCTCCTCCAGCTGTGCCTGCTTCTGCCCCAGCAGGGGGAGCCATGGGGGCTCTGCCCTGCTGTTGCTTGGCCAGCCAACACGGGGGGAGGAGGGGGTGCAATGCAGCAGGGCATAGCCCCTGCTCCCAGGTGCTATTCCACCTGCATCAGTGCTGGGAGTGAGGGTTCTTCCCTGCCACCGCTTGCCAGCCAGCATGGGGCAGGGGGAGCAGGAAGTGGGCATGACATGCTCCCTTCTACCCGGAGCGAGCTGTGACTGCATCACACCCCCTCCCCCCCCCCGGCTGCTCAAGTGGCAGCAGGGCAGAGCCCCCACTCCTAGTGCTGCTGTGTTTCCCCGCCCCCGTGTAATGCATCCCTGCCGTGGCAGCTTGTCTCAGCTCCAATCCCTCCCTCCCTCCTCCATGCCCCTTCCCTCCCCCAACCCCAACAGATTTATCAGCTGGAGTCAGCTGGGTCAGCTGCCTGTTTAATCTATGACCGAATCTCCAAATCAGCCAACGCTTTTCCGAATTGATTCAGAGCTTTTACCTTGTCTCCCAATTCAAGACCCAAATCGAGCTAAATTTCCTCTGAATCAAATCAGCTACCAAAGCTTCGTACAGCCCTAACAAATATGCTGTTTCAGTGAATGGATAAGTGTCTTGAAAGATGTCAAGGTACCTTTCCTCATAAATTTCCTTTACATTTTGCCATTTTATTTGCAGATTTTCAAAACTGCGGTATCAGCCAACAACACAGAAATATACCAGTTTACCATGTTTATTTACTAGGGCTGTCAATTAATCACAGTGAACATGCACGATTAACGCATTATTGGCTCTCATGTTCATTTTTTTAATTCATTAATTGCACATGTGGTTTTGCAGCCCACATCCAGGCTCCACTCCACCATCTCCAGGCCACCCAACGGGGCAGTGCAAACGACTGCAGGAAGCCTAGGTGCAGTCTCTGGGCAGCTGCAGCAGGTGGGGGGGGGGCATGCACACATGAGCAGCTACAGCCTGCATGCTGCATGTACAGCAGTGTCATGCTGATAAGTCTGCGGGGTGGGGGGGGGCAGGCAGATTGAGGCCCCCACAGTGAGGGACGGAGCGGGGAAGGGGCAAGCGCTGGGGTGAATGGGACTCTGGGGCCAGGGCAGGTCATGGGATGAAGCTGCTGGTGGCTCATCCAGGGGCACAGGGTAGGGGGCAAGCAGCTCCCTGCCACTGTGTGAACCCCCAGGGGAGGCAGGGGGGGCATATGCCCCCACATTTGTGCACGGGGCAGAGATGGTCTTTCCACTGAGGCTCTGCTCCCTACGGCCTTTGCCCTGGGAGCTGCACACTGCCCACATCGCATTCCCTGCCTGCCTGGCGGTGGGAGACACAACATAGTATAGAGTACCTGAATAATTTTCCTTAATTTTGAGTTTTTAGCTGTGTGATTGAAATTGCAATGAATTGTGACTATTTTTTTTTAATTGTGCAAGTAATCATGACCATGTTTTAATTTTTTTGATAGCCCTATTATTTAGAAAATTTCACACTTTTCTCAGGAAAATCCTTCTAGTCCAAGCTCAGGGGTAAATGCATATATTATTAAAAGGGATCCTTCTTAGTTGTACCTAGGCATATTAGCCCCAAACAATGTGGTATCCAAACACTGCAAGGTGCTCAATGTACCTAGAACCACAACACCCTTGTTAAATCAGCCAGCTACCCTATACAGCCTGGGACAGTCCCAAATTTCAGAACTGCCTCCTGGTGTCCACAAAGTCACTGAAATGCAAACTTTTTTCCTGAATACAGGAAATTGGTTCCAAATTGGCCAATTTTCTCCCCAAAACGTTCACATTGCATCTGTTAAGAGACAGTTACCTATGCCTCTCAAGAGACACAGTAAGATGTGGCCTGAAGCCAGGCACGCATGATCATATTGCTTCTATTTCACAAGGTAGCTATGCAATAAATTAGCTAAACCTCAAATTAGCTGAGCAGCAGAGCTAATTAACCCATGTACAGTACCCATGTACACTAAAGCAACTACACTAGTCAGAAGCAGAGGTGGTATAGACTGCTTCTAATTTCAGTGCTGTGTGTAGGATATAAGACTAAATCCTGGATTTTACAATCCACAAGTTGGTAACCTTATTCCTTGCAAGGCAGGACCATCATCTTACTACAAAGGTGAGGAACTGAGTACCTGATCCCGAAGAGTGTTGGGTATGGGAATTCTGAGAGTTTGTAACCCCCATTTTTTAGGAACTTGATTCCTGGAAGGGAATTCACTAACTAAAAGTTAGGCACTAGACATGATGAAAAATGTCTTGCATTTAAAAGCTTCTAATCTAAACTATGCAGTTGGTCCAATAAAATGTATAACCTTAAGAAATACTTGTCTCTTGCATAATTTGTGGACCATCAGAACTACAACATAACTCTAATACTACCTATACAATGTATAGTGTGCCTAAGAATCCAAACACCCAGGACACTAAGCTTTATTAGGTGCTTAGGATTTGCAGGAACTTTAACAAGATGGAGTAGGAATGGCACTTATGCAGTTAATAAGGGGAGTAGGAGCTGGCCACTGAAGGATTTGTTGCAGGGGAAGGGAGGAGAAGGGGAGGAGAAACAACTCCTAGGAAAACTAGTAAGAAATACCAAAGAGATCTTAAGCCCCACCTCTCCTGCACATTTAGGACCCTACCTGCAACCCCAAGTTAACATCAAAACAAGATTTATCTCTATATTTAAACACCTAAATCATCCCTTCAGGTGGGGATGCCTGGGTCACTCTTTTCCTTTTAAACAAAGGAAAAAGGAGTTGGCACCAATCTTTTGTATAAAAGCCTGGTAGAAAACCCCTAAGTTCAGCCTGAACAGGTTCAAACCTACCATGCTCTGCCTGCTAGGGCTAGAGACAGAAATTACACATAAACCGGTACAAATGATAACTGGTTCAAATCTGTAACACAACAGAGGTTGAGTGCACATAAACTGCTTTCAAAATGGCTGAAACCAGTTTAAGATAAACCAGAATGGATGTAGTTTCAGATTGAACTGATTTAGGTTAAATTGGTTTATTGAACTTCTGTCCCAGATCCCCTCCAGATTCAAGTTAACTCAGTCCCCCAGCATCCCAGGATGCTTTGTACCTCCCCTACAACCCTCCCCATCCAGGGTGGGCAGGCTATCCTTGGATCATGTCTGCTACTGCCAAGTAGGGAGGTGTGCTCTTTGGCCCCTATCTTCTGACTTGGACCACTGCAGGCACGTGGCTTCCTTTCCAGAATCAAAAGTAATTTTGTGCCAGTCATGTGGCCCTCACTGGCTTACCAAAACTCAGTAAGCGGCCCTCCGCCCAAAATAATTGCCCGCCCCTGGCTTAGACTAACCCAAGAAGACTAAATTGATTCAGTCTTGGCCTTTTTGACTGTCTCTACTTAGCCTAGAAGAGTGCCTAATCACCAGCCTGTGAGCAAAGGTAGATAAGAGTGATTTTTGAACCTTCCCACCGAAGCCGTTCCACTGTGCAGAAATAAATGCAAGAATTGTGATTTAAAACAAAACGGCTGACCCCACACAATTTGTGAACAATATAAAAGTGTAGAAAATGCTTTTACCTCTGGAATCCCATCCATCCTTGCCAGCAGAGTAATTACAATTTCCCTCTCACCAGGCTTAAACTCCAGGATTCCTGTGCTTCCATAGAACTCGCTATCTCTGGGCTCTACGGTGTAGCGTAAAAATTGCCTAAGCAGTGTCCCCCTGGAGCGGACAATCTGAAGCTCAACAGATTCCCCTTCCTTAAAAAGAAAGCAAAAGTCAACCAGTTTCCAACATTCTCACCAAAGGTCAGGTGGACAGAACTAATTGTTCAAGAAGCTTACTTTTATAGTATAGGGTCCTCTAGTGGAGGGAGAAAACTCAAACACTCCACCAGGATCATCATTTTCCAAAATAATCAGTTCAGTAGTAGTAAAGCCAGATTTAAGGATCTGATTTTCCACACTGACCCTGAGGAAAGAAGATAAGGACTATTTTCAGGTTGGAGTTTTACACGCACTATACACACACATTTGAACAATGGCAAATCACGAAAAGTTAATGTCTTCTAGCCAAGTAATGAAAAAAATTCTGTAACTAATTGCAAGGAGAAAGCTGATTAAGCAAATAAATCGCATTTGTATCAGAAAGTTTAAATAAATTTGCTTTTTTACTTCCTGAAATATCTTCACTTTCTGTTCCGAGTATTACAGCTAGTTGATCTATGCTTAAAAAAAACACACACACATGCACACAACACACAAAGAAATGCAAATATAATCACACAAGTGAACACTTAAGGTCAATGCTTAGTAGTGTGTTGAATTTTACTTCTGTATAATAAATAGTTTGACAGCATTAAGATAGCAATAATTAATTTACTGGTCACACTATTGGGAGCATATCCTGGTATTAATTTTAGTAGAAACAAGACTGGATATGACTTCTTTGCACTTTATTCTCTCATGTGCCTCACCATCACTTGGTGCAGGATGTAGAGCCAGTGTCAGGAAGCCAGCCCCAGCTTGTGTAATATTTGAAAGATTTTTTTTCGAGCAGCTTTATTTTGCACCAGGATCTTAGTAATCTGTAAAACCTGTGAAGTACAGGCATAGCAGAGCTCCCCTTTTCTCCTCCTGACACACTTTCCATTCCAAGTTAGACAGCAGGAGGCACAGGACCTGAGCCAGTACCATAACTAAGGGAGGCCAAGCAGGGTACCAGCCCTAGGCACCAACTTAAAGGGGACACAAAAACAGCAGCAACCACTGATGCTGGCATATGCCACAGCTACTGCTAGCAACTCAGGTGCTGCTGCCCAGGGCACAAAACTTCTCAGCTACACCTCCGCCCAGAACTAGAACATTTATACTGGCAGAATTTTCATCTTCGTGGGGAATTTCTCCATTGGCCATCTGAGGACAGCTTCTGGTCCCTTCGGACTTACAAAATAGTATAAGGGTATCATAATCTATGTATGACATGCATGTGTCACAGAAACCAGTCCTATATCTCTTATAAAAAAATGGGAATATCTAAATTATTTATATTTTAATAAGAGCCAATGGGAAAAAGGGATTCATGGAATACAAGGAAACTTAAAGAAAAAGTATGCTTTCCAACACATTTCTGATTGATGTTTACCCTAAAAGCATCAACACTTTTATATAATATTCAGAGAACTTTCTTACATTTTTACCCGCACATCAGACTCTTCACAATGACCCTTAAGTGTGATGACATAAGAGATGCTTTACATGCTAGCATTCAAGGATGCACTGAATATCCACTTTGAGTTTGACAATTTGGATAGTGTAAGGATCCATTGTCATTCACATAATTGAGACCTTGTGCATTATCCATGTCTCTTCCAGAGGTATTTTGTTTCTAAAGAAAACAAGGCCCCATGTATAAGATTTTCTAGTCTCACTTCATTCCTACCCACTCTTGGTCTACATTGTATATTAAAGGAATTAACAATCTCATCAGACCAGATTTTAGAATCAATCAAATAAAAAACTCCTCAAAGGAGTCCCAGAGTCACTACAGAATAAGGCTGGTTACCTCTTTGTCCTAAACCAAAGGTCACAGGACATAATACAAGATTAGAAATGGCTGGAAGATTCTCATTATTTAATAGGGTGAATTTTCATGTGCACTATCTATCAATTATAGCATGTCAATAGAAGTAGTAATAATGCAAAAAAACAGGCAGGGTCTATTGCAAGAAAATAACTCTTTTCATAAGTTATCTTCAGGTATTTACAGAAAACTTACTTTGTCTAACTCCAGTAAGCTCAGTTGTTTAACTGAGGCAAGTTATACTTGAAGTAATTTGAAACAACTAATCCACTGTTTCAGTAAATGCTCAAACATCAAACAGTGAGCTGTGCATTCATAACTTTTATCATTCACAGAGCCTAAATAAAGAAACATTTTCAAGCCAGCACCCCATGTCCCTAAATGAAATAGCAAAGGAGCATGCATTGCCTGAGGAGATGCAGAAGGCATGGTTCTTCAGAGGGAAAGAAACAATAAAGACAACAGAAACTTGTCCAAACCAACCACTTTCAAAACAAAGTGTTGATTCACTGAAGACAAAGGCACAGTTAGTTGCACTTACCCAAAGTATACGACAAACCTTTCTGTCTCTACCCTGTCAAGACAGAGAGAAAGAAAGCGGGTGGGGGGGGAATACAAGTCCCATTTGCCAAAATCTTAATAATACAAATCTTAGAAAAGAAGGATAAAAAAAAGAAAAAAGAAAACACAAAGCCTTTTTTTTTGCTTTTCCAATAGCTAATAATGTTCACTTTATGGGAATCTTGCTTGCTTGGCACTTCCCTGTTGACAAATGCTAGCAAGAGGTTTGGTAGTTCCCACTTGGGAGAGGTGACCCCATGACCAATCAGCATGTCGAGACTCATTCAAGGCATTCCTCACCAAGCCCTCCTCCAAGAGCTCGATTACTGCCAAGCACTGTACATGCTCACAAACTGCAGCAGCTGAGTAAATTTTATTCAGCTTCATTTGTAATTACTTAGCGCCTTTAATTAGACCACAAAAAAAAAATCTTTATTCTAAGCTCTACATGCCTCTAGGATCTGTTGTTTCATCAATCTGCCAAAACGACTATATAAGCAGATAAACATAGGAGGAGTTTAATGGGATGCATAAAAAAACCCCCACGCTTTGACAGGAAACCGCATGAAGGCTCATCTACAGCAATTTTTCAGTTACTCAGATTACAAAAGTACTATATACAAAAGAAAAAGTATTTTCCAAACCCTTTAACTGCTTCAATTTATCCAGACACTCATTACAAAACTATAATGACTACTTCAAAGTACAGACTAAAACAGAAACTGA